CTTTAAATTAAGAAATACACTGTTTCGGTAATCAAAGGATTACAATAAGCCCCCTTTAAGGATAAACTCAAAAAGGGCTCAACCGGGGAAAGTCAACACGGATTCTCTTACCACGACCATAACAGTCTAAACAAAAACAACCAAGAACAACAACAAACAAACAAACACAAGTCACACTACTTAAAAACACAAGAATCAAACACAGTTTCCAAATCAAAGATGTCCTCGGCCACCACACATAATCTGAAGTAAGAAGAGCTTTTTGAATTGAGAGTTGTGAGCAGGCCTTTGTTCTGAAGGTAGATGAACATCTCTTTTCTATTATATATATATCGGGTGTCAAAATTACACGGGAATCCTACGAACTGATATGTAATTTTCAGTTCTTATAAATAATCTAAAAATAGAAAAATTACAATTGAACTGAAAAAATAAAACGGAAAGATTTTAGCGATGCGAATAAAACTCTTTCCGCAAGAAGAATACGTCCCGTGTGTTGCTAACGATTCAGGCGTAACTTCCCCAAAGATACAACGACAAACGTCTCTAAATCTGTAGCACACCAGATTTACGAGCTCCGGCGAACTGGCGGAGTCGAGAATTGAGCACTAAAAAATAGAAATAAAAATATCTCTCTTTTGTTATTTTGACAACAAATAAATATTTCTATATTTCTATTATTTCTTTTCTCTCTCTTTTCTCTTCTTTCTCAGTGTTTTTCTTCGTTTCTTCTCCTCTACTGCTGAAGAGGTATTTATAAGGAGAGTGGCCAATAGTTCTACGCGTTCATTTCCCACAACTTGCATATATTAATGTTATTTTTATTATTATTAGCAAGAGAGATAGTGGGGCAGTGGCCAAATTGGCGTTATTAGCAAGAGAGCTAGTGGGGCGGTGTGATTGAAAATCAATTGTGCATCATGATTGATCAAAAGGGGGACCCACACTCAATTATTTGTTCAATTTGCACTCAACTCTAACAATCCCCCACATGAGTGAAAATTGAATGATTGCTTGTCATCAGACTCTTATGCTCAATCCTCACTAAACTCTATTACATCAGAAAAGGTAGCTTTTGGCATTGAACCTTTCTTAGTAAACATCATCGGATGCACTGACGGCCTAGTGGACATAATGCCTTGAACTATTCATTCATAGTGTATACCAAGACAATGACATTTACACAATAGAGTCTTAACTCCATTCCGTTCTATCGTTGTGTCCGTTTTGGCCATGGACAATACTTTGGATTCATAAGTGTTTACATTTGAAGCGCCCCTCACTTCACACTTATATAAGTGACCTCCCTATCAAGAGTATCTTGTATTACTCCATCTTTACAAGGTTAGGGATTCACTAAAAGTCCACATGACTTACCCTCACCACAATCAACAGGTCTTCTTGCACTTGGAGTGCTCTAGGGAATAGCTTTGGACATTCATATGTTCCAAGTGCTCAACTAAATTTTCATAGCTTAGTTTTCCCTTTGAACCAAATTCGTGGGATCTCCACTCAGCACGGTAGGCTTACGACTATGATCATTCTTTACATTGTAGATTTTTAAGCCCATTTCCTCTAGCAAAACTCCCAATTGATCTCTATTCAATCCTTTCGTCAAATGATCAGCTAAATTTTCTTTAGACTTCACATAGTCAATAGAAATAACACCATTTGAGATCAATTAGCGTATGGTATTATGTCTACGACGAATATGTCTAGACTTACTGGTATACAAGTTACTTTGCGCCCTACCTATAGTAGCTTGGCTATCACAGTGAATCAACACAGGCGGCAAAATCTTATCCCAACATGGAATATCGGATAAAAAATTTCTAAGCCACTCGGCTTCTTCACCAGCTTTATCTAAAGCGATGAACTCCGATTCCATCGTTGACCGAGCTATACACATTTGTTTTGTGGATTTCCACGAAACTGCACCTCCTTCAATACAGAAAACATATCCGCTAGTGGAGCGAGAATCTCTCGAATTTGATATCCAGCTTGCATCACAGTACCCTTCAAGTACGGCTGGGTATCTCGAGTATTTTAGTCTATATTCAAGGGTGTACCTCAAGTACTTAAGTACCCTTCTCAAAGCATTCCAGTGCTCATGACTGGGATTACTTGTAAATCTGCTCAACTTACTCACCGGATAGGCCAAGTCTGGTCGTGTACAATTTGTCAAGTACATCAGACTCCCTATTATCCGTGAATATTCCAACTGAGCCACTGGTTGACCTTTATTAGCCACCAGATTTATACTAAGTGTTGTAGTTTATTTTACCGGAGTGGAATCAAAAGATTCGACACCGGGTCGTGTCTCTCGAGGAAGGTCAGCCGGATTATTTTGTACGATTATTCAAACACAAAAATGGAAGATAAAAGAAGTGAAAATCCTAAACATTCTAAATCAAGTTGGAGGTTTGTTTATCGTCTACTAATTGAAAAGCAAGTAATTGAAAAGGGTAGAGAAAACTAGGAATCACAAACTCAATATATGATAAAGGAGCTAGGGTATCGGGGTCGATCAATTCCGGTTCTCAATACACTTAACAAGCAATCAAGAGCTCGGTTAAATGCTTCGCTAAACTATTCACCTAGAGGTCTATCCTCAATAACTCTTCGTAACAAGAGGATAGGCATTAATAAGCAATTCTTGAAGCAATCAACACATAAGCAATACTATTACGAACAAGCTTATTCCTAACGAGCCTAGATCGAACGATTTCTCCCTTTTCAGTTTTTAAATCGATTAAATAGATTAAGATGGTGATCAATCATCAAAACTCTAGGCTAAGCACAACTCGAGAGGATTGAGCAATTATCATGCATACAAACGAAATCAAACCGGAACGATCTTCCCCTAACCCTAGCTAAAGGATTTAGCTACTCATCACAAATCCAACATCAACATTCATATAAAGCAAAGACATATCACTCATCAATGAAATAAGAAAAAAACTTACGATAAATACGAATCCAATGTTGAAGAAACAACGAGCAATCCAAATCCCAAAAGCTTACTCTTGGTGTTTTCACAATCCAAGATCAAATCCTATGAAAACTAAGAGAAATATATGTTCTGGAGTGAAAAAGCACGAGAGAGGTTCAAAACCTAGGTGAAAAGATAATGAAAAACTGAACAAAATCGCAAAATAAAAATACTGCTGTCGCGACCCCCGCGGCCGCGACTTAGCTCTCCGCGGCCGCGGCGAAGAGAATCTCGCGGCCGCGACTGTCCCCGAGGCCGCGAGCTTGACGGACCAGAAAATCGAATTTTTGACATCTCGCGGCCGCGGCGAACGTTTTCTGCAAGGCAAATTTTTGGGTTCGTGTTCTCGCATCCGGATACGAAATTTAATCCCGTCTTCTCCAATACAACCCAAACTCATCCATCTAGACAGTAAACCTCGCATGGCCATGCACCGAGCCACCAAACCTGCACATCACCACCGACAAGAAAAACGAAAAACTAGGAAAAAACGAACAAAAAGACCAAAACCCACTAAAACAAAGGAAATGCACGAAACGACTCGAAACGGACCAAAAACCAAAGAAAAATACCTACGTAGGGGAAAAACAAGCATGAAATAAAGAAGAAAAACATGACAAAAGTGGAACGAACAACTCCCCCACACTAAATCCTTTGTTCGTCCCGAACAAAAAGAAAAGAAAAGAAAAGAAAAACAAACAGACGAGCAAGGACAATGGTTCAAGCAAGACTAATCTCGAATCAATCAATTAAGCCAAGAAGAATTCAAATGATCACAAGCACACACCTCAACTATTAGCTTGGCCATTGTGAATGACATCAACTCTCGAGTACAGAAGTGTATCATTTATGCCTCACTCAATTTCTTTCTCAAATATCACTGGGTACAATCAAATTGGTCAACAATCGAATCAATCGTAAATTTGCCTATCGTCTAACTCCTACTATAAAACAATCAAATTCGTGAAACAATGAATCAAGAGGACTTTAAGGGTTGTAACGTAGGCTCTTTGGACCGGGTAGGATAAATATAGGCTAACTGGCTAAATAAAAATCAACTCAACTCAATCAGATAACCGTAATCATGAACTCCTCCGGTTTCTGACACCAACCGGTTCCTCTCACTAATCCAAGTCAACCTACTACCCACTTATTCAACATTTCCATTTTTTTTATACATTTGCTTTTTTTTTTACGAGAACCTTAGGATATTTCGTAATCCATTCGGTTTCTCCCCCTTTTTTTGTGTGTGTGAGAGAGCCTTAGGATATTTTAACGTAATCCATTCGGTTTCTCTTTCTTTTTTTATATACCAACGCAAATCACCTCCCAATCCACACACGTAACTCCACAATATCATCGTCACGAGGTAAGAGAAAGAAAATCAATAAGGCTCAAAAGGGGTGACTAGCGACATTATTCTCAGAAAAAGAAAAGGGAAGGGAAATACAAAGAATGCCTCAATCATATTCACGTTCACATATCCAGTTATTTCATTTCATAGCAGACTCAAGGCAAATTCTAATTGACAACGATTCCGACCAATAACTCACAAGAAAAGAAATGAATGTGGCTCAAAGCCTCACAAGGTAAAATAAATGTCAACAAAACAACCAAGTCAAATCATCAAAATGTGACACTCATTCTCATCATCACAACTTCCTAACTCAATCAACCAATTATCAACTAGTCTTACAATATACCAAAGTCCAAGCTCACAAGGACACCACAAATAATCCTAAAAACTTTACTGGACCACCACGCAAGAGAAAAGAAATAATGAAATAAACGCAATCCTAAAAGGAAAAACTAGACCTGGTCAACCACATAATCACGTAAAACTCC